AAAAAAAGGGGGGGGGGGGGGGAGATACTTCTTTCCTATAGTCATAAAAAATTTCCTTTGTTTTCCAAAACTTTCCTAACTTGTTTTGTACATTTACAGATCAAAAGATCTATAATTTGCATACAATGAGTTATAAATCTTTATTCCCAAATAGACAGCCAAATGTTTCAACCCCATTTACTGAATATAGATTCCTTTCCCCACTTATCAACAGTGTTTTTTTGTTATGAACTAAATTTCCAATAAACACATGGGTCAGCTTCTAAATTATATTACATCCACTAATCTACTTGCCCTTCAGAACAGTCTAAAGATATGTTCTGGTGTCTGTAGGTGCTCAAATATACATTGAAAATAATTTCTGGCTATTTTGAGCTTTGTCAGATTCTAAAGTTCATATATAAATTTGTAAGTTTATAAAGACCGTGACAGATACCTTTATTAGAATTTTATTAATTTACTAGAGGCCTGATGCATGAAAATCGTGTAAGAGTAGGCCTTCCTTCCCCTAGATGCCAGCACTGGCTTCACTCTGGCACCCGGGACCTGGGCTCCCCTCTGGCTGCCGGCACCTAGGCTCCCCTCTGGCTGCCAGCGCGCAGCCCGGGACCCGGGCTTCCCTCCTGCCGCCAGCTTCATCGGGAAGGTGGTCCAGAAGGATATCAGGTCTAATTAGCATGTTACGCTTTTATTATTAGAGATAAATAAGTATGGATACTGCCTTACTTCTGTCAGGTCTACTGCTAAAATGCCACCTCTAAGTGAGGCCTTCCCTTGACTATCCTATATGAGTAGCTCTCTCTTAGTTTAAACTCTTTTTTAAAAAAATATATTTTATTGACTTTTTACAGAGAGGAAGGGAGAGGGATAGAGAGTTAGAAACATCGATGAGAGAGAAACACCGAACTGCCTTCTTCTGCACACCCCTCACTGGGGATGTGCCCGCAATCAAGGTACATGCCCTTGACCGGAATCGAACCTGGGACCTTCCAGTCCGCAGGCCGACGCTCTATCCACTGAGCCAAAC